TTCTCTCGTCTTCCAAGTTGGGGTCAAAAGGACTGAAGGTCATGGCTGCAAACCGATAGTAATGGCTATCTTGCTGTCACTTCTTATCCGACCAGAATACTTGGAGTAGTATGTATACATCGTTGGACTGTGTTCTATGTACTGACCATAAAGGTTTGCTTTCTTTTCTGTTCTTATCATCGTTACACATTCTCACTTACTTTGGATGTAATATGAGTTTGGCCTCGGTCAGTGAAGTTCGCTTCACTGTATTACGCTGTACAATGATGATGATGGTGATAATTATGATTCTTTTTGCATCTTTAATGAATAAAATGCTTTTAAAGTTCAAGTTCGAACAGCTCCAAACATAGTTTGAGCTGGGGAAGGAATAGTGAAGGTAGACAAATATCGTTTTATGGGTTGCTAAATCTCATCTATCTAACGTATTGCGGATGAAGTGTCCGCTCCGATACGTGGGACTCGGATGGAACGGCCACGACCTCGGTGTCAGTATAATCGATAGTTGAAGGCAATAGGTAATATTCCTGGTTCTCGTGAACAGTTACCCTCGTGCACTTGTTCAATAACTCTGCAACCTATGTCGTCACCTGGATACTTTTAATAATTGTAGTACGCACTGAACCCGAAATACGAATCACGCATCAGAAATTACGGACGCCACGTAAGAACTGGATCAAATTGATACTTACACAATATTATCCCACATGAACGAGAGGCGAGGAAAAGGCTACAGGAGTAGCAGTTCGTTTATTGAAAGAAATCCCGGGGGAATCAAATGATGTATACAAAAGAAGTCTATTGGTCATCCAAGCCTCGGCCAAACACGTGCTAGTATTTCTGGCGTTGTACAGTTTCTTTCTGGGCCGCACGGCTTCTGATTGGTTGGCACAACCGGCCTATGGTTTGTATTCCAGAAACTGTAACGTGTCTCGTAGGCTAGGATTACCACTATACTGCTATAACTTCTAGCATTCAATTATTTTATTCTTGTTTTCCAAACAGGCATCCAACGGACAGTAACCAAGCGACCGCAAGAAGGCGTTGGGTTAGTGGTTGTATAAACTGAACTGAAGTGGAACAAACTCATCTCGGCCATAATCTGCTTTGATTTTTCGAAAATATTGATCAGTTCACTCGAAGAATGAAA